TAAGCAGTAGGTGACAATTAGACAATCCACATAATCTAGATTCTGGAGGAATCACTTTGGCTATACTGGGAAGAATATATTGGAGAAGAGTAAGACTGGCAAAAGATGACAATGACAGCGGGAATTGAGAGAGAGATATCTATGAGATAATTACAAGGCAAAATTGATAGAACATGAGGGGTGAGACAAAGAGAAATCAGGAATGGATCCACCAGAAAAAGAATCAGGTTTTAGTTTTATTTTGGGGGAGACAGAGGATTGAATTAGGTACTGAACAGTTTGAGAAGCCTTTTAGATATTTAGGTAGAACTGTTCCACTAGCAGTCAAACCTGAGACAGAGACAGCAGTGGGAACCATTAGCATAATAACAAATAACGGGGGATCCCTGGGTGGCGCAGCGGTTTAGTGCCTGCCTTTGGCCCAGGGCGCGATCCTGGAGACCCTGGATCAAATCCCACGTCGGGCTCCTGGTGCATGGAGCCTGCTTCTCCCTCTGCCTATGTCTCTGCCTCTCTCTTTCTCTCTCTCTCTATGTGTGACTATCATAAATAAATAAAAATTAAAAAAAATAATAATAACAACAAATAACCAAACTCATAGGAGAAATTGATATTGACTACAAACAAATAAGTCACCAGAGTTGAAAAGGCTAAGGACCAAACAACAATATTTTTTTAAAATATTTTCTTTATTTATTCATGAGAGAGACACAGAGAGAGAGAGAGGCACAGACACAGGCAGAGGGAGAAGCAGGCTCCACGCAAGGAGCCCGATGTGGGACTCGATCCTGGGTTTCCAGGATCACACCCTGGGCCGAAGGCAGGCGCCAAACCGCTGAGCCACCTGGGCTGCCCCAAACAACTATATTAAAGTATAGTCAGAACTCACAGAAAAGCAGCAGCCTGAGAGACAGGAATAAAACGTGAAAACTATGGTTAACAATGAATGCTTGAAATTTTTCTTTTTGCTCATGAAAACTTTCTCCACTTCTTATAGTGAACACTACTTCTTAACAAGAAAAAAGGTGTAGTTTTATATAAAACTTGCATCCATTTATTTTTCTATTTATATATGTAAAAATGAGATAAAGTTGTAATTCTTTTCTGGCCTATCTCAAATTTATGATTCACGTAATTCAATATAACTGAATTATTAGTGTCTAAAACTAAAGATTTTCTTTTCCAGGATATTTTAAAAGTGCCTCCCACCCCTCATTACTATCTGGAACTATTTAACTTCACCAGGCTGCTGGAATATCTGGCTCCCCATCAAGAAGTCCAACCAAGGGACTCCTGGGGTGGCTCAGCGGTTGGGTGCCTGCCTTCGGCTCAGGCTGTAATCCCAGGATCCAAGATCAAGTCCCGCATCAGGCTCCCTGAGAGGAGCCTCTTTCTCCCTCTGCCTGTCTCTGCCTCTCTCTCAGTCTGTCTCTCATGAATAAATAAATCTTATAAAAAAAAAAAAAGAAGTCCAACCAAGACTAAATGAATAACTGAGAAAACAATTACTCTAAAAGTGTAATGACATAGAGCTCTAGTAAAGACTAGTAAAGAAAAAGTATGTGTTTCTTCTGGATTAAAACAAGTAGATTTATTCCCAATATAGTGTAGACAAAATACGCAGTATTGACCCATGTAACCTATGCCATGTAGCCTAAAAGTCACATCTGCTATAAGATCAGTTAGAAGCTTTTACTTGCAAATTATTTCAAAGCCATAAAATATCTCATTTCCACCTTTTCAAAGACATTCTCTTATTAACCTCAGAAATCCTAATACTATGTCACTAGAAAATATTTAATCTCTTGGGGGACATTTAAGCGTAAAGTATAACAGATACTTTTATACTAGAAGCTAAAGGTTCTAAACCATTGGACTTTTTAATTGACAACAGACCAGTAAAAACAGTTCTAAAATATTGTATGCGTTTATTATTGATTCTTAGGGTTTGATAAACTGAAAAAAAAATTTTAATGATCCTTAAGAAGGTACTTATAACCCATAACTGAAGTCCTTCTCAACTAATGAGATTTTTGCTATTTTCAAATTGTTGTTCTTATTCTTTCAAAATGTTACATGTTGCTTTTATCTGGTAGAGAAATATCTAAGTATTCCCCACTTTGAAGGCAAGAATTTTATCCCAATTATTACTCTGAAAAATTTTTAAGTTGCTAATTATAACTATATTTTGTCTACTGAAACCTTGATCCTTTACTTATTTAAGTAATTGCTTATCCCAAGTTAGTCTCAACTTTGAGTTTACCAAAATGAAGAATGTTAAATACATCTGCTGTTCCTATTCTAAAATTCTTGAGAAGCAACATATTGAGAAAAACATTCACTATGTTTTAATTTTCAGTGTATACATAAAACAATGAGAATATAAGCACCTTTATTTCTTTACTTCAGAGAATCTCAGTCTGTTTAGCAGCTAAATATTATATATTTCTAAAATCCTGACAGAAAACACATACTAGAGACTTATAAAACTGGTATTAAATGCAGTCTTATTTTCTTCTTATACTAATCCCAACTACCAAATTGGTGAATATATAGTTCAGGTAGCTCTATTTAAGAATTTCAGCAACATTTGACAAGCATGACAGAGCTTTTAAAGTATATTACAAATTCCCAAAATAATGATTGGTATTTGAGAAAATATTTTGGGAAAAAAAAATCACTTTCCCCAAACAAGCAATTTCAACATATATCTAATCAGAATTACTTCAAAATATTTCCTAAGAAATTTGAGGAACCACAATTTCAAATATATAGGGGTTTGCAGTTCAGAGATTATTTTGAGAAATGTCAGAATTATTTGTATAAAAATTGTCATTTCTAAATTTAGAACCATTTTTCTCATCTGTAAAATAAAGTGCTTAGACAGAAAACTGATCTACCTCTACAGTGTCTTCCAATATGGACTGTGACTGATATGATTTTCTTTTATAAATAAAAAATAATTGTTAATTTAAAAGTATATCTTTTACACAGTGAGGGGCTTTTTTTGCTTTTCTTAATCTGTAAAGGATCTTGAAGATACTTTATATAAACAAGCCAGCCATTTTATATCTGAATAAAAATAGGTTAATAGCTTTTTGCACAAAACACAGAAAAATGATGAAATCTCTGATTTATGGTGAAATAATATTTTCTAACTTTGCTAGTTTTACTTCAAATCCAAACTTCTGTTCTCAAATGGCCATTTTATCATTTGAATAATTTTTCTAATTTTATGCATACTGAAATTAATCTTGCTTTCTTTCCATATGGAAAAACGCATCTACTTACCATCTTATCATCTTCATATAGATTTCATTAAAAAAAAAAAACTGCTTAAATGGCAAATGTCCGTAGCTGTTCTAATCTAATGACTCTCTTTTTGAGGGACCTTCTCTAATGTTTAAATGTATTTCTTTAATACTGACACTGCATTTGTAAAGGTAAGAACTGCCAAAATAGAATTAGTCTGAGGCTGAGATAAATTCCTCCACTTTGGTAAGTATTTCCATTTTATTTTAAGCAGGAAGTTTTAAGTGTCTTTATTTAGTGTTTAAAAATGACGTTTCATATGCCCTTTTCTCTGACAGTTTACAAACACCAGGAAGAAATAACTTGAAAATGTTAATACTGTTTATCCCTGGTGGTGGTATTACACTCCATTTTATTTTTTTTAATTTCCCAGAAAGCATTATTACTTTGGTAATCGGACAATATTTCAAAATTAAATTTTAAATAGCTTATAAAGTGTACAACATCAACACAATCCTCCTCTCCAGCAGTTAGGTCAAATGCCTTTCCCCTATTGATAAGCTTTAACAGGAAGAATGCTTTGATCAGGTGCCTGTTAGGTTGGATGAAGACCTGACACTTACTTTCTAGGCCCTTCTTTTAAGTTTTAGACTTTGAACTTAATTGCAGTGAGTCTTACAGCAGTAAACTTTTGGGGGGGGGGGTGCAGAGTAACATCTTTCAATGCAACTATTAGCAAAATGTCAGGAGACTCAGGTTTACCAATGTTTTGAGAGACTTGTCAGTATTCTCCTGTCATTTCAGAACAATTCCATTTAGAAAGAAAAGCAATTGTAAACCGTTTCTATTTCAAGCCCATAAAAACCCGAACTGGAATGAAAGGCAAAGCCTTGACCTTTCTATTTTAGACTTTCATCTGGTAGCTAAGCCATCTGCTTTCTCTCCCCTACCCCATCTACTTAATGGACTGAAAATACTGCACCTAATTGCAATTTTATCAAACCAGCCTGACTTTTCCACTTTAACGAATTAGGACTGTCTTTCACCTGAAGACTCGCTGGTAAAAAATGTGCTTATTACCCTTCCTTCTCAATTCCTTCCGACCTCCCTCAATTATGAGTTACCAAAAGTCTTTAAGATACTCGGCTTCCGTGGATTAAGCCATCCATGGATAAGCCTGAAGGAAAATCTACTCCTGTGTCTCCTCCTGTGGCTATTAGGCCGGTATTACCATCACTGTGGTTGCGGTTACGCAGGAGGCACCTCGCAGCTCAGCCTAGAAAGGAGCCGCGTCTCTCCGCCGCTAGACAACAGGGGACTCAGGCTGGGAAAGGACAGACCCGGGTGGGAGGAAAACCTCCAAGAGGAAGAAAGGAGCTGGCAAGAAGAGCGAGCTCGTAAGACTGGAAGAAAGGACCTTCCGAAGCACGAAGGGAAAAGGGTATTTGTCAAGTGAGGCAAGAAGTGGGTGACGGAGGTGCAGCGGCAAGAAGGGGCCGGGCCGGGCCGGGCGGGGAGGGCGCCGGGGGCGGCTCCCCGGTCAGGCGGGAGGCGCGGGGGCCGAGGCGGGCGTGGGCTGCTCGCAGCGACCGCCGGAGTCGGAGCAGCTGGGGCGCTTCCAAAGGCGCGAGGCGCGGGTGAGGGGGTGAAGAGAGGGAAAGAGAGCAGTTGAGGGGCCGAGAGAGCCGCGTCGACGCCGGCGCGGCGGGGACAGCGGGCCCACCCCCAGCCAAGCCCCGCTACTTAACTATTTGTAGAGCTGCTGCAGGCACAGGTCCAGGCTCTCGCCCTCCACCTCCTCACGGGTGATGCGCTCCGACAGCGGCCGCGGGAGCGGGGGCAGCGGCGGCAGCTGGGGCTGCGGCGGCGCCGGCGGCACGGCCGACTGACCCCGGGCTGCTGCCGCCGCCGCCTCCTCCTCCTCGCCCTCCGCCGCCGCCGCCGCCGCCTCTTCCTCCACCGCCTCCTCTTCGGGCTCGGGGTCTTGTTCGTGCTCTTGCTCCCCCTCCTCTGTCGCGGCTACGGTGGCCGCCTCCTCCCCGGAGTCCTCGACCGAAGCCTCGGCCGCCTCAGCCGCGACCAGTTCGGGCTCGGGCTCCGACTCGGGTTCGGGTTCCGGCTCGGGCTCGCCGCCACCGCACGGTCCGCGAAACTCGCCCAGAAATAGCTCCAGAAAGCGCCGGTAAGTTTTCTCCTCAGGGCTGCAGCCGGCCATCGTTGCTCATGCCCCAGGGCCGACCGGGATGTGGGGGGGGGGGGAGTCCAGGAAGGGGAGGGGGCTGCTCTCGAGCCTCGAGCTCCCGCAAAGGCTGTTAACGGCCGCACCGGCACGAGCGATCAGCACTAGGTTGCCTGGAGAGGGCTCCCGCAGGCGTGCGCGCCGCCGAGCGCGGACGTGCGCGGCCCGGGGGCGGGGGCGGAGCGCGCCGCCCCCCTCTCTGGTCTGGAGGGAAAGTTGGTGGCGGGCGCGCGCGCAGGGTCCAGCGGCGGCCCACCCTCCAGCCCTCCGCAGAGCTCAGCCCACGCTGCCTAGAGACTGTCGCCATGGCAACCGGCTCTAATTAAGAATTTCAGGGTCCCTCCCGTCGAGCCCGCGGAGTCGAAAGGACACTCGACTCGCCCGCTCTCCAACTCTGCATATCTTTTTTGCATGGATACCCTAGCCTCAAGTGGGTAAGAGTGAACTAAGACATCTCCAAGTCTAGCTGTTGGTTCTCATTTGGATTGGATTTACCTCAGTTTTCCTTATCTATCCCTGCCTTGCCTTTGCGTAGGTATCTGTTCAAAGATACCAGTGTCAACACCTTTTGTTGTTGATGACTCTAATAAGTAGTTTGGGGGAAAGGGGACATCAAACACCTGTCAAGTAGTAGGTTCCTTTGCATATATTCTCTCATTTGATTCAATGAAGAAAGTGCTGTTATCCTCATTTTTCTTTTTTTTTTTTAAGATTTTATTATTTATTCATGAGAGAGAGAGGCAGAGTCACAGGCAGAGGGAGAAGCAGGTTCCATGCAGGGAGCCCGACGCGGGACTCGATCCCGGGGCCCCAGGATCACGCCCTCGGCAGAAGGCAGACACTCAACCGCTGAGCCACCCAGGCATCCCTATCCTCATTTTTCAAAAATAGGAAACAAAATTAATATTAAGTACTTTACCTACTTCAAGGTTTGAAAGCTACTAGCTGTGTCATGGTAATTAGAACCCAGATTGTCAGCCTTCAAAGCATTCTAGAACCTTTTTCCTTTACTCTTTGTTGTTTCTCGAGACTCAACACTGCAATATGTCTATAAAGACTTATTTTTAGGGCTTTATAGTTTACAAGTTGTTTTTGTACCTTTAATTCTTACAATAACACCTCAAGGTAGAAGACGACATTATCATTATGATTCCATTTTATAGATGTGAAAACTGAGCCATAAAGACATGGTGACTTTGCTCAAGGTCACACACAAATGATGCAACAAAGACTAAAATTCAAGTCTTTTTACTTTGCAGTAAGCAAAGCCATTCGTTTTCTAGCATTCCAAGACACCCCTCCGTAGTCTCTGCATAATACATATTATACCTTATACATAATATGTCCTGTTTGTACATTTTCTTTGCTCTTCTTCCCCATCCCTCGAGCTTCTTTTCTTTCTTTCTTAGGTTGAAACTGAAACAACTTTAAATGATCCTAATTTTCTTACCAAACTACACACAAACCTATTATTTTCAAGCCTTACTGAGGGGGGTGGGAGAGGGAGAAGCTGTGTTGTTATACAGCTGTATAGATGATAGCATCATTACTGCATACTGCCATGTCCATGGCAACATATAATTCAGCAAAAACATAGTGATTCTTTCTCTACTTGGAAAAACATGTTCACAAATTATCCACCCCATCCTCTCCATTTATTGTTTCAGTTAGATGTAGGGTCTGAAATACCGTTTCTAGTTGGTTATTAATGGAAGAAGGAGTCTCTGTGCCAACTGTTTTCATATAATACTGTATTCTAAATCCCTGACCTGATACTGTTATTTTAAGATTAAGTGGGTTGAGCTCACTAATGTACATTATGGCATCATGTAAAATAGACATCCATTCTTTCTCCTAGTTCAAGATTAAATAATATATGATAGAAAGTGTATAGTGAGTAATGCACGAGTCCTCTATAACTATTTTTGTCTCAAAGGTAAATAGAAAGACCCAATAAATAAATCTGTTTCCAGACAAGCTAAATATATTTATACGTATTTTGTTTAAAAAATCACCAGTTTAGAACTTTTCTGAGATGCCAAGAAAGCCTTTAAACTTCTCATTTGTCTCTGTTTTCAATCCACCTGTTAATTTACATTTCAGTGTGTCTAGAAAAGATTGACAAAACTTTTAAGACCCAAACCTAAATGTCCATAGCTTTACCTTCCAACAACATAACTGTTTAAAATCTCAGAATTTGACATGTCATTTAGTTCAAGTGGCATAGCTGTCAACTATAACAATTTATACCAAACTACACCTTCCTACTTTGTAATGTAGTTACCTCCCTCATCTAGATGACATTTATTTGTGACATTAATTTATGACTCAACTCACATATCAAAGGGAAGTGTTATATGTTGGGAAACATTACTACTAAAAGTAAAAGAAAAGCCCACACCTCTATATTGCTATAAATGAGAGGTGTGTTTGCTTACATTAATAAAGATATTTCTTCACAAATATGGATCCTATTGCATTCATTTGACAGAGTACCTTTGCCAGAAGGTTGCTGACAGCAGTGCTGGGATCTCAGAGCAGCTGTGTAGGATGATTTTGCCATTGTCAAGAAGTCTTTTTAGTCATTATTTTCCATTGCTTTACTTTCCTTTTCAGTTCCTCTTCTCCTACACTTTCCTAATCCCCTTTCTTACTATCTAAAATATTGAGCTATAAAACCACGTGTATCGAGGGTATTTAAATTTTTTGAGGGTGTTTTGTTTTGGTTTGGTCTTCCTAAGATTTGCTCTCCTTCTAACCCTTAGCTCTTTAGAGGAAATGCACAATGTCCTTTCACGGACATTCAGAGTAATGATGATATCTATAAAATTAAAAAGAATTGTTGAGTTTGGCAGTTTCTTATCAGATAACCCAGCGATTCCTCTCCCAGATATTTACCCACAAGAAATGAAAACATGTTCACCAAATACACATACACACCACACACACACAAAAAAAAGAAACTCATAAAAAATGTTCACAATAGTTTTATTCAAATAGCTCAAACTTGGAAATAACCCAGATATCCATTAATAGGTGAGTGAATAAACAAATTGTGGTGTATTCATACAATAGTCTACTACTCAGTGGTAAAACGAAATTACTGAGAAACACAATGTAGATGAATCCCAAAAACATGCTGAGTGAAAAAAAAATCCAGGCACAAAAGAATACATACTGATTCCATTTACATGAAATTGTAGGAGCACCTGGGTGGCTCAGTCGGTTAAGCATCTGCCTTCAGCTCAGGTCGTGATTCTGATGTGCTGGGATCGAGTCCCTGCAGTGCCTGGAACCTGCTTCTCCCTATCCCTCTGCTGTTCTCCCTGCTTGTGCTCTCTCTCTCTGTGAAAAAAAAAAAAAAAACAGACAGGGATCCTTGGGTGGCTCAGCGGTTTAGCGCCTGCCTTCAGGCCAAGGCGTGATCCTGGAGTCCTGGGATCAAGTCCCACATCAGGCTCCCTGCATGGAGCCTGCTTCTCCCTCTGCCTGTGTCTCTGCCTCTCTCTCTCTGTGTCTCTCTCATATATAAATAAATATTTTTTAAAAAAAGAAAAAACAAAAAAAGCCAAAAAAAAAAAAAACCTACATGAAATTCTAGAACAGGCACCATAGTAATCTATGGTGACAGAATGGGCAAAACTAATCTATGGTGGTTGCCTGCAACTGAGGTGGGGTGGGAGATTGATGAGAAAGGAGTAAGAAGGAATTGGAGGGGGTGGGAGATTAAAATATTCTATATCTTTAAAAAATAAATAAATAAAAATAAAATAAACTATATATTAACTGAGTGGTCACATATATATATTCATTTGTCAAAATAATTAAAGTGGGGCCTCTGGGTGGCTCAGCATCTCTTTTTTTTAAAGAAATATTTATTTATTTATTTATTTATTTATTTATTTATTTATTTATTTATTTATTTAAGAGAGAGAGAGAGCGCGCACATGAATTGAGGGGGTTGCAGAGGGAGAGAGAATCTTTAAGCAAACTCCCCACTGAGCACTGGAGCCTGATGCAGGGCTTGATCCCAGGGCCCTAAGATCATGACCTGAGCCGAAATCAAGAGTCAGAGGCTTAACTGATTTAGCCACCCCAAGTGTCTGACTCTTGATCTCAGTTCAAGTCTTAATCTCAGGGTCATGTGTTCAAGCCTAGCCTGGGACCTACTTAATAAAAAAATTTTTTAATAAAATTAAATAAATATATATTAAAATGTACATTTTTATGTAACAGTATTGTAAGTAAATTATACCTCAATAAAGTTGATTTTAGGGCAGCCCCGGTGGCTCAGAGGTTTGGTGCCACCTTCAATCCAGGGCGTGATCCTGGAGACCTGGGGTTGAGTCCCATGTCAGGTTCCCTGCATGTGCAGCCTGCTCTGCCCTCTGCCTCTGTTTCAGCCTCTCTCTCTCTCTCTCTCTCTCTCTCTCTCTCTCTCTCACTCTGTGTCTCTCATGAATAAATAAAATCTTTTTTAAAAAGTTGATTTTAAAAGTTAAACAGAATTGATTAATGTGTTAGTCCTTGTCCTTTTTGCTCTTATATCCATTCCTTCTCCCCCTTTGCTCTGTATTGTAGGGAGGCTGAACCTTTCAGGCTATAGTCACAAGGTTCCTTGACAGTTGACTTCCAGCTGAAATTTGCATTGGCAGGAAAGTGGAAGGTGGGAGGAAAGGTGAAAACCAGGATATTTATTCCCTGTCCCCTATCTCAGTTCTAATGCCTGCTGCATCTCCTTGGTAACTTTGCTCCTCCTGAACATGTCTATTGAAATTCCAGCTTTTGCCTACGATACCAGTCTCTGAATTCCAGAAACATCTTCTTCCATTTGTCCATCAGCCTACAGATGATAGTGGCTTCTAGCTTCCTAATCTTGCCTGCTATGGACTCAATATTTGTGTTCTCCCAAAATTCTTATGTTGAAATCCTAACACCCAACGTGACAGTATTAGTAGGTGGAGCCTTTGGGAGGTAATTAGGTCATGAAGGTTTGGTCATAGGATTAGTGTTCTTAAAAAAGAGGCTCAAGAAAGACCCTTCTCCCTTTCTACCACATGAAGACACAGTAAAAAGATGGCTTTCTGTAATCAGATGCTAAATCTGCCAGAACCCTGATCTTAGACCTTCCAGCCTCCAGAACCATGAGAAATACATGTTTGTTGATTATAAGCCACCCAGCTTATGATATTTTTGTTATAGCTGCCCAAACAAGACTGTCTTACCTTCCCTTTTGACTTTTCAGCTCTTCTATCACTTGTATAACAAATTTCCTGTATTCTATTCCTTGATTTCTTAACTGGATCTCAATTGATGCAATAACAAATACAACTTTAAAGAGCCATAAAATGGATTATATATATAAAATAAGTACAAAGGGATTAAGCAGACATTAAAGCAAGTTTAGATCTTCAAAGTTGCTTCTGGAACATTGAGCTTACTTGAAGTTAGCAGTAAATGATTTCCTAGAATTAAAAGTTATGATAGGTTGCCAGTGGTTCAAGGGAAGTGGGAAAGGATGAATAGATAGCACACAGAGGATTTTCAGGGCAGCAAAAACTATTCTGTATGATACTATAATGGTGGACACATATCATTAGACATTTACGAAGGCCCACAGGATATATAACACAGTGAACCCAAATGTGAACTGTATACTTTAGTTAATAATGAATTGATTCAATTATTGGCTCAATTATAACAAATGTACCTAACTACTGTAAGATGTTAAATAATTGGGGAAACTGGGAATGGGAGAGAAGACCTATATGTGAGAACTCTCCATCCTTTCTCCTCTTTTGGTAAATCTAAAACTGCTCCAAAAAATAAGGTCTATTAATTTTAAAAAGGTAAAATATTCGACACGTGGTAAATAACTGGTACTTGTAACTAAGAAAAATCTATTTCTTAGTTTATCTTCACTCTTTTGTACACTATTCTAAAATATGCCTGTTTTATCTCTTTATAAAAAAAAAGAAATACTATTTCCAAAAAACCCTCAATTTTATTATTGCCAATTATAAAAAGCTATCAACTTGAAATTGATGCCATATCTCAAATGACAAAACAAATGTTTTTATATTTTTGAAAAAGTGTAGTAATAATAAAATATATAATCTTAGGTCTAGTGCCTAGGAAAATGTTTAAGGCCAGGCCTAATGATGAATGTTAAAATGTAAATATAAGGATGTGTAATTTTTCACTCATATTTTAAAAATTGAATGGAAGGATGACTAATGTGTAAGTACTTGTTAAGATATTAAATCAGGGGACACCTGGGTGGCTCAGTGACTGGGCATCTGCCTTTGGCTCAGGGCATGATCCCGGGGTCCTAGAATCAAGTCCCACATCAGGATCCCCACGTGAACGTGAAGCCTGCTTCTCCCTCTGCCTGTGTCTCTGCCTGCCTCTCTCTCTCTCTCTCTCTCTCTCTCTCTGTGTGTGTGTCTCTCATGAATACATAAATAAAAATCTTAAAAAAAAAAAAAGATATTAAATCAGTTGTGTTGTCAAACTGACCAGTAGGGAGCAATAGAATACTTGACAACTGAAAAAACTGAGCACATAGAAGTGTTTTCAAATAAGAATTTCTTCCCCCTTTCTCCTCAATATACCCTAGCTACATATTTTCCATTCTAAATCAATAACTTTAAAATAATCTCCATTTGCTGCCAAAAATATGACTGCTATATTAATTTTTATTCCTTTTCTATTGCTAGCTAATTGGTCATATTGCAGCAACAGTCCAAAGCTGTCAAAATTAAAATTCATGTCAGGTAATAACAGGCCTACATGCACTATTTCATTGGTTTTAACAAGCAAAGAAGTCCCCCAAACAGCCTCTTTTTTCTTACTGTTTTAACCACTACTGATAACAATCTTTGTTTTTATCTAGCATAGTTCTTTGAGGAACCAAAATTGTGAACTTATTACAACATGCTTATGAAAGAGGAAGCGGGCAGGGGTCCGTGGTAATTTCTGATGAAGGCACTATAAACGGCTAATATGTGGTATATGCCTTCTGTAATTAATGGTTCTTCTAAAATGAATTGACTCTATTAAAAAATGCACTTCAATATTTTGCTACTGGTTTCCACTTTATAGAAACTAAAAAGTGCTTTATGGTGGTAAAAATCTATATAATCATTTCCCTGTATATATTTATTTACAGTAATTACATGCAAGAATTGAGAGTGATATTGGTCATGTTCTAGTTTAATCAGCAGATGCCCATTACCACTCTGGAGCATTCATCAAAAAATCCAACTGCTTTTTAAAATAAAAATGAAATAGGCAACTAAATATGAAAACTTCATAAAGGTGTCTTCTATGCTCTGAGAGTTCTTAACACCTTATTCTTTGTTGAGTGTGAATCTAATGGAATTGAGCCACAATAACATTTGTGACTAGAAGGGAAGATGGAAATGATTCCATTAACCTAGAGTGCTGTAACATATGGTAATCATAGGAGGTAGAATAGCTGTGTTGGACAAGGGTAGATGTAAGCCATGTGGCACAGACGTTATCAATTACACATTACCACACATGGCAACCATGCTGACACAATGTATCTTCTCCAAAAAGGAAATGATTTTGGGCATATGAAGCCGTTTGTTGCCTTATGAAAGAGTGATCTATAAATGACATATCTGGCACCAATGTAGCACACGTGGTTTCTAGCTAATCCTGCAAGTTGAGGACAATTAAGATTTGATAAACCTCCATATACCTAAATAACAGTACAATACATTGCAGTTATTTGAACAAAGGCAGCTAATCAAAATATTTAGCAAAATAAATTTGGGTCCTTCATGTATAAAATTATTTTTCAAATATCTTTTTAAATTATCATATAAAATTTTGGAATTTTGTATCTCTGGAAATATATGCCAATACATGAAATTATTGGTATAAAACCTATGGGATAGGCAAAAGGTCAACTAAGGTGTACTGGGAGATGGAATTACAGTAATTGCTCCCAGGTTTGACAAAAATATTGAATTTGAAAGAAACATGATAAAAATTGTTCTAAGAAAATTTGATATATAAACATTCTTTCAGATGAATGCAGGGTAGATTGAAGAAGAAACACTAAAGGCTGAAAGATCAGTTGGGCAGTGGGAGAGAATGAGAACACAGAAGAGAATGATTCATTGGGAATGAAAATGAAAATAAAGAGAAGCTAAAAGACACTGTACAGGAAAATCTGAAATTCTACAGTTTCACCTGAAGACACAACCTACCCAGGGAGGCTCTCAAGAAGCTGTTCTGGATGTCTATTGCTGCATAACTACCTCAAAACTTAGTGGCTAAAACCAAAACCATTTTATAGTATTTCACAGTAT